GTTTGCGGTCTGGGCTTTCAGTTCACGACCGTGAACTAAGATCGTGAATTGAGCCCAATCTGGGTATATAAAGGAGGTTGAGCCAAAGGAGAAAAGGGAGAGACCTAGTTTGAGAAACTTCTTCTTCTTCAGATTTCTACAGTGACAAAGTGACGAATCAAAGAAGAGGAGAAGCTAGGGTTTCATCTTCAACACAAGAAGCAAGGCTAGCATCTCTTTGGTAGTTCCCTTCTTCTCTCTTGTGTTTTACCTTCTCCTAGCATGGAATGAATGATTTGTGTGTGGTTGTGTTGTGTTTAATGTGAATGTGAAGGTATTATTCATGAATGATTGTGTTGTATGAAAGCCTATCAATCTAATTGACATTCTAACCTAGGTAGAGAGAAAACCCCCTTCCTTTCTTTGAAAGAGGCTTGAATGCTGGATTTTTTTAGGCAATTCATTGTCTCCTAGTTAAGTTAATGCAGGGCAAACCTCCTATTTCGTATTAGCACCTAGGGTTTGGTTGTGGGTGGCCGTTCGAATTCCGATTCGTGGGTGAAGTCTAAACCAATCCTTAGTCAATAGGTCGAGAGAGTCGCGTTGGTGGCTTGGATAGTATCCCCTTTCCTCGACCTAGAGACTAAGAGAGTGGTGCTTGGCTACTTGTTACAATTCCCTACGGTTTACCACCCCCTCACCACACACGCCCATTTGATCCGACAAGTCGTAATTGTTAGCTAGGGGGAGCAACCCCCTGGTGAAACCTTCTCAATTAATGTCAAATCCATTTATCTTTGCAAGCACTTTTGCTTTAGATTGTTGTTTTCACCAAAAACCAACCGCTAGGTAATGTTCCAAACAATCGAAGTAGGGGTACATGAACCGGCCCGGGTCGATATTTAAACATACTTCCCATGTACTACACTTGGTTAAGATTTATGCTTGGGCATTAATCGGGAGTTTGGAAATGGTGCATTTGGGTAGAGTCATGAAAGCTTTCTCGATTAGTGTTCAAACCATTTATTTTTCCAATCGCTTTAGCTATATACTGTAGTTTTAGCCAAAAACCATTTGCTAGATAATGTTTCAAACAATTGAAGTAGGGGTACATGTACCAGCCCGGATTTGACTTTTAAACCATACTTCCCCTATATTGCACCCGGTTAAGGTTTATACTTGGGTCTTAATCTGGAGTTTTATTGTGATATTCGAGACGAGTCAATTAACAACTTCCTTACATATCTCCATAATTAATTCTCTCTCATTTATTCGAGCGGTTGCGACCAATTGGTTTATGAAAAAATAAATTTAAATTATTTTATAAAATAAAGATTATCACTCAGCTACCATTTCATTGTAGGTAAAATCATAAGTAATTTGGAAATTTTATATACAGTTTGAATTTACTAGAAGAACTATCCATAGCTCTCGATATTCTCTCCCTCAACAATGGCAAAGGCTAATAAAAATACTGCTATATTTGCATCTGCTCCGCTGGCGATCAATAGAGTACCCTTGTACTTGCCGGTAAGGAATGTTCCATCAACTTGAATCACAGGAAAACAAAATGGAAAACCATCAATAGATGGCTTGAATGACCAGAAAAGACGCTTCAAATGGCGCTTGTCACCGGGCTCCGGTGATTGAATTTCTTCATCTTGGTAGCGGGGAGAGAAAATGGTGCCAGGGTTAGACCCCTCCAATGTCAAAATCAATCTGGGAAGGAATGCATATGATTCTTCCCAGTCACCAAACACGGCGGCCATTGCTTTCTGCTTTCCATGCCACGCCTTCTTGTAGTTAATGGTATATCCATAACGACTAGAAATGTCGGCGATGATGGTTTTAACCTTCAAGTCGGGCTGCTCCTCAATTAGATGTTTGATAGTCGCGACAACCACCCTGGATTTCAACTGTCGATGGCCTTGGGATGTTATGGATGACACACATGTGTGAGTGTTCACCGCACGGGATATGACCCAATGGCCGACTCTGTTGCTCTTGATTAGGGACGTCAATCCAACCGGTAACCATGGGTACCCTACCCGACCGTAACCGGTCAACGAGGGTAATTACCCGCTTTGACGGGTTAAGGGGCGGGTACGGGTAATACCCGGTTTCAAAATAAAGGGTAGGGTACGGGTATGGTAATCGATAATACCCGCCCCGCTAACCAAAGTGTCAATTTTCCTTGAGAAATTTAGTTTAGCTTGAGAAATTTAGTTTAGCTACCATTATTGATGATGAAGATGTAGACGATTATTATGTTTGTGTGGATTGTAGAAGCAAGAACAATTATTATGTTTTTGTTGTTTTTATTTGTGTGGATTGTTGAAGCTAGAAAAATTAGAAGTATTGAGAATTTTTAATGGACAACAATATGTATGTGCATATATGTGTATAAGTTCATAGTTTAGGATTCGTACCCATGGTTACCCGAATACCCGTGGTTACTCAGTGGGTAGGGTATGGTTATATAATTTTCATACCCGGTGGTTATTTGGTCGGGTATTTTAGAAGGCTCTACCCGGCGGGTTAGGAGTTGGTATAGGGTAAACCCGCACCCGACACTACCCATTGCCATCCCTACTCTTGATGGCCCGGACCATAGCCTTGCATCCTTCGTGTTGATTTTGGCATCTAACCATCAGCCTCTTCGTGTCGGAATGGGTTGTGTGCCATTCAAAACTCCGAGTCATTGCTTCAGTGGCAATAGCGTGCCACACCTTATTCTTCGTTGCAATTTGTTGGCCCTTCGTAAAGCAGTGAGTGGACCTCATACTGGCACCTCTGGCGGCTCCATGTCGGCATCAACATAACAATCTTCATTTGGAATGTGATTGTAATAAGGGATAAGTACACGGTCGTGAGGCACCTCATCACCGTTTGCGTCTGAATCTGGACCGGAATCATCGGCACCTTCAAGAGGATCGAAGTTGTCTGCACTAACATCGCTTTCCTCTTCTTTAACCTCAGGGTCACTAACTGGACTTGGATTGACATCTTCCACCTGATCAAGATCATGAAGGCACCTTGATCAGCTCAGTAATGGTAGTTGTGGTAATTACCGCCGCCTTGGTAGAGGTTGTACTCGGGTTGGTACTGGTAGCCTTCTTGTTGGTTCCCATCCGCCTGTTGAGCTTCTTCTTCATATGATGGCAAGGATTGATGATGACCTCCAGTTCCATCATGATACTCATGGCACCAGCTCGGGTCTTGGTAGTTCTTGTGGGGATGATCTTCGTATAATCCACCCCCACCGTGGATACCAGATGTTTGGGCATCTCTAGAATGACCTACACCGCTTTCGACCACCTCGATGTAAACGAACATCTCCGCTTGTTTAATGTTATTGGTGGTCAAAAATTGGAGAATGGCATCAACGTCCTCCTGAGTGGTAATGAGGAATTCCTCATTCCACAACAACCTGCCATGTTTGTTTGGATATCGATACACCATATGATCAACTCTTCTAGTGTCATCCATGCAGGTAACCTCAGCACATATTTGATGGAGCTCTTCAAGCATCGGTCTCGTAACGACCTTCATTTTATAAAAATTGCCACCGACGTAACGTACCCCCTTTCCGGTCTCTTCCGTGTAACCATTCCACCGTAACCCAAACGTAAACTTTTGGAATGCCATCTGCAATAAAATCGTAATTAAGTTACTATCATAAAAATCACAAATGACAATGAAAAATAATACAAAACAAACTTCCGAATTAACGTTAATCGCAAAAACTAAAAAAATTAAAGGTGCACAACTTAAATTTGAAGAAGAAGAAGAAGAGGAGTGAAGATTTTGAGTTTTTCGGGGCTGCCTTTTATAGGCAAATTTTACACTGAAAACCGCAAGGGGGAACGGTTTTAGTCTGACATGCAGCCCCCACCCCTGCATGTCGACATGTCGGATGTCGGTGGAATGGGGCTGAGTCACAAATCGCTGGGGGGTGCGGTTTGTGCATCGACATAATAAATCGCTTGCCTGAGGGGCGGTTTATGTTGCCGACGCAGAACCGCACCCAAAGCACGCAGTTTGTGCTAGGACTTAGGTAACCCGAGCGTGGAGCGAGAGCGGGAGCGGGAGCGAGAGCGTAAGAGCGTCAATTTCTCAAGAATTCAATATCGAGAGCGCGAAAAAAGCGTCATTATTTTATTATTTTAATTAAAAATCAAGTCACCATTTAGCCCCTAGACAATGCATTTTTATTCAAACAAGCTCGTCAATTATAAATCTTGCATTCTGTTTTTACCCTGAATCAATAATTGTTTTAAAACTTCTAACAAATCACCCCTTATCCATATAAAATAAATAGAAATTAGAAACAATAAAATGATTTAAAAAAAATTTCCTCAAAAAAACCCTTATCTCCAAACGACGAAACCCAACCAGGACTCCTCCTTCCTCATTCTCCCTTCCCCCAAATGCCTTCTCCCAAATTCAGAAGTCTCTGCTTTCTTATCCTCCATTGCACAAGGGCAAGTTATTCGTTAGTAGTCAAAAATCACAAGGGCCTCGCATTGTTCCTTCCATCTTAAAAACATAGCCAATTAAACAGGTGATTTTAATCTGCCCAAGCTTGCATCAGCGACGGCTTGGGTCGCGACTCACTAGCGCCGGGGAATCTGGCAACCGGGGTAGAAACAGAGACGGATGGCCACTGATGGCTGGAGCGGCGAGGAAGGCGACAACCAGCTAGTTGGTAGAAGGCGAGATCTACGCCGGATGTTGGTGAACAGGGAGAAGGCGGTGGCGATGGTTAAAATCGGCTACGATGGGAAGAGATGGCGGTGGCATCTGGTGATGTCACAGTGTCTTTTCTCCGGCCAATTAATCGGAAAAGGATGGTAGTCAGAAATCCACGCTCTCATTTCAGGGAATCCGCGCTCTCAAAATAAGCAAAGCGCGAATTTTGCGTGCTCTGCGAAAAAATCGCGTGTTTACGAATTGGAGCGGGATCGTGGGAGTAGTATAGGCGAATTGGGTTACATAAGCTAGGACAGCCATGGGAACAACTCCTTCGAAGAGCGGTTTTCCCAAAAAACACAAACCGCTCGTCTGACATGCGGTTCCATGTTAAATCGCCACCTTGCAGTGCGGTTTTTATTGTAACCGCCCCTACGTAGTGCGGTTTTCAATTAATGGTGGTAGATTTGGAATTTTTTCGGTATATGTGGTAGTTTTAATAAAATTTTTTAAAAAAAGTGATAATTTTAGATTTTTTCCCGGAAATTGAGGGTGGATCAACAAGATTGAGGGCGAAACGAGGACCCAGATCCGCTCTGTCCCGCTCATAAAACGAGTGTTACCTGCCCAAAACAGGTCATACATCTGTTAAGACTGTTTGAAAAGTACAATCGGAAATAAATACCCGGATTAACTAACCATCGCAGCGGAAGGAAAAGAAACGAAGACTGGCCATAATAATTGATTTAATGTTGCTGCGCTAATCCATCCAGCGGTATCACCTTGCTTGTACGAATTAGCTTACGGCCAAACGTCGCCGTTGAATCCTCCTTCCCCCAAACTCCGTACGAACGACATTAAACGCTTACGCTGCTACAACTGTAAGAATTTAACCGGTGAAAAATCCAAAAGTCTTCTTTCATTTCGCATTTCCTTCCTTCCAATTCATTGCCTCCTCTTCAGTCGTCACCATTTCCTTCTTCTTCTTCTTCTTCTTCCTTCGATCTACCGACCAATCATTGACTCGCAATCTTCTTCTTCTTCTTTCGTCGCTTCCTTTCTCATCGTGAATGGAAGCCTCTTCCTCATCACCTTCTTCGTCGTCGTCGGTGACGGTGGCTACCGGTGATAGATTCAGACTTCATGACCGCCTGGAGTTGCTGGAATTTGCGGACAAGTACGTCGTCAAATCCTTTGAATCTCCAAATCGAGGCTTCTCAATCAGTCGTGAGGACGGAGACATCCAGCCTCTCGACGGTACGCCCCCGTTGCCCCATTTCCTGTGTCCGGATTGGGCTTCACTTTGAAGTTTCATTTGCAAGACAAGTTTTGCTATTTATAGTATAAGAAATTTGAATTTCCGAAGTCCAGTTTTCATCATAGTTTTGCGACTTTTAAACATCGGCGGCGAGGGACTGCTTCTATATGTTTCTTCTTGCACGAATTGAAGCTTACTGGTTTTGCTTACAGGTGCGGATGTTGATCCTCCGGTCCGACCGTACCGAACCTCCACAATCTACGGTGTGGCAGGAACTATAAGATTGGTTGCAGGTAAATTTGTTTTCTTGAACCTTATATTGCCTAATTGCTGTTGATTAAGCATGTGGGGCGACGGTATTGATGATGGATTTCTTTGATACTCGAGCAGGAACTTATATTCTGGTAATAACCTCTCAAAAGGAAGTGGGGGAGTTCCTTGGTTTTCCTGTTTTCCGGGTAATGTCTATGCAGTTTCTGCCCTGCAACGAGGCACTGAAATTTTCCACTTCAGAAGAAGTAAGAATCTTGTACATGACACACCTTTTCAGTTGAGTTATTCGTCTGCTGATAATGCCGTGTTGCAACTTGGTTCATTGCAGAAGAGAGACGAGGCTTACTTCATGAATCTGTTGAGAATTGTGGAATCAACTCCTGGATTGTATTATTCATACGACACAGACATAACATTGAAGTAAGATCTTTTTAGCTTTCTGCTTGCTCTTTGTGTATGTTATCACCTTAGCTCTTTGTGTGTGATTACTTGTCATAGTCATAATTTGAACAGCACCATAAGACCGGTTGATAATTTCTCAGCTTACAGAGAAGATGCAAATTAACTGATGGGTGGATGGCTAAACCAATCTGGAAGCAGGTTTGACTTTTAGTCCCTACTTTGGTTTTCGGGTCTAGATGGGATCAACACTAGATGCAATTGGCAAGAACATTGAATTCCTCTTTGCATTTCAGGCAGACCCTCGATTTGTTTGGAACCGTAATCTATTGGAGGATCTCATAGAGGCAAAGGTTAGATTTTTCCCTGTTCAGATTTGCTAGAAATATGATATTTCTAAGGTTGTTTTCAAGTAAAAGGAAAGAGTTGAAATGGAGTTTCTTCTAACACAAGATAATGGTTTCTGGTGGCAGCTTGACGAATTTGTTATTCCTCTGCTCCAAGGAAATATCCTTTGTTACAGTATCGAATTAACTGCCATCCTTGTTCCATTGAGATTTTTTTTTTCCCCCTGTTTTCATTTAACTTAAGCTTACGCTTTGGAGTTGCTGAGCTAAAGCTGAAAGACACACCTGTTACATTAACTCTAATTTCAAGGAGGTGCACAAGGCGTCTTGGTATATTTCATCCGAAGATTATTCATGTTTTAATGTTACAAAGTTCCATACATATTTATAACATCAAAAGTGCTATCATGTAGGGACAAGAATGTGGAGAAGAGGAGCTAACCTTCAAGGAGACACTGCTAATTCTATTGAAACCGAGCAATTGTTGGAGACCGAAGGTTTCAGGTCATCATTTTTGCAGGTTAGCCTGGTCATGGGCACTAGTTGGACATTGAATGATGATCAGTTTCTCAACTCGTCTCACTAGGTTTTATATCTGTCTTAAGGTGTCATGAATGCTTCTTTTGCCTTTGCAGTTTCGAGGTTCAGTCCCTCTTCTTTGGGAGCAAATTGTAGACTTAAGCTATAAACCACGACTTAGAATTATTGACAATGAGCAAACGGTGTGTTTCGAATCCCAGTGATACTATTGGTCTTTTATTATGATTTTTTTGTGTGACAGTCTCATTTATTTGTAGCTCTTTTTTTCAGCCGAAAGTTGTGGAGCGTCATTTCCTTGATCTTTCGCAACGATACGGGGATGTTGTGGCAGTTGATTTGACTGATAAAGTAAGGAAATTTCTGTTCTGCTCTCATTGAGGGTAGTTATTAGGCTGGCTGGTGAAAAATGTTACCCCTTGTAAATTGGATCTTGTGAGCATCATTTCCGTGATCTTTCTTAACAATACGGGGATGTTTTAGCAGTTGATTTGACTGATAAAGTAAGGAAAATTACATTCTGCACTCATTAAGGGTAGTTGTTAGGCTTGTTAGTAAAAAAGGTTGCCTCTTCTTGTAAGTTGGATCTTGTCAGCGTACAACATATTCCATTCTGTGAAGTTTATGACCGACTGTAAAGCTCTGTTTTACCTTGTTCTTGCAAACTTATTGCATATCTGTTTGGTCTACCCCTGCAGCATGGCGATGAAGGTCTTCTAAGTGCTGCATATGCTAATGAAATGAAAACGCTTCCAAGTGTGAGGTGGAATTTTCTTCTTCTTTCCATCTATCTATTTGATTTTGGTCAGTCTTGAATAAGGAATAGAGCTATCAGATGACTTTGCTATATTCTCTCTTAAGCTCTATGTCAGATTTAAATTCTGACTGTTTCAGAGTTCTCTCTTACCAATTGTTATAATCTTAATTAGGCAGTGCATGATGATACGCCTAGTCAAACCTAATTTAATGAAGTGCATGTTTCAATCATTTCTCTACTTGCTGCAGGTATTGCTCATTTGACTTTCATCATTTCTGTAGCAACTCAAACTTTGACAAACTACAGATTCTATATGATCAGGTCTCAGAGGATTTTGAAAAGCAAGGGTAAGAGTAAAGAAAAGCAAGGGTAGCAACTCAATCTTGATTCATTATTTGAATATAAAGAATAGCTGGAGTCATGGCTACCGGTAATTCCACTGTTAACCATTACTGTTCCAGCTGAGCAGATACTTCCTAGTAGACGATGCAGACGGGGAAATACTAGAGGAACAGAAAGGTATTATCAGGTCAAATTGCATTGACTGCCTTGATAGAACAAACGTCACTCAGGTTGGTGAAAATAATCTATTCTTTCACCATTAGATGTAATTTGATCGCTAGATAAGTGTAATTCTCATGCTTGGATTTTGGTTTCGAACAGAGTTTTCTTGCCCAAAAATCTTTGACAATACAGTTACGAAGAGTTGGTGTTCTTGGTCCGGATGAGAGCTTTACCAATTTTAACAAGGAGTATGGGAAGTTCAGAACATGTATGGTACTCCTATCTATGCTTCTCCTTAATTATCTGATGATTCGAGGTGGGAAGTCTGAGTATTATCGGCTATTTCTGAAATGATTAACAACCAGTGTGGGCTGAGCAAGGTGATGAGATAAGCCTTGGATATGCTGGAACTCATGCCTTAAAAGGGGACCTTGTAAGGTATATACTGATCTATCAATGTTGTGTACAGTTATTATCTATCCCTTGAATTGCAACATTATTAGTTTATAATTCTGGCATTGGATGTAGATATGGAAAGCAAACTTTAGGTGGCATGATTAAAGATGGGATGAGTGCCCTTTCAAGATACTACTTGAACAATTTTCAGGATGGAGTCCGACAGGCAAGCTCTATCTCTTACACTTTCACCTCAATTAAATTCCTTTTTTTTTTGTGCCACCCCAAGGATCTGACCTTTAAACAGGGTCATCATACTTTGTGCTTTTAGAGGTTATCAAACTCTTTGACATGATCTTACGGTAAATAGGCTCTGATACTATGACGATATGTGCTAGAACGAATCTTACACTCCCCCTTTACAGTATGGATGGATATGGGAGGCCTTCGGTTATCGAAATCTAACACCAACATATTTTGTTTTGCTGCAGGATGCTCTGGATCTTATAAGCGGCCGCTATAGCGTGAGCAGACAATCCCCTTCTCCATTCCGGCTCAATGGATTTGAATCTCTCTCTGTAAGTAACACCGTTCTTCTTCTTTTTCTACTTTAGCCTTTCATATTGGAAAGTTGTCCATTTTTCCAGTCGTGTTTATTTTGATCCTTCCTTGCTGAATATTGAGGTGTCTAACGGGCAGAGTGAACTCCCACAGTATCTCCCAGTAGCATCAGCCTTGCTCATTGGAGGATTGACAGTAACATCTTTCACGCTCCAACAGGGTAATTTTGTGCTGCACGCTTTCTGTCTCCCTGCGGATTGTGATGGAAAGTTAACATCATCAAACCCCGTTGCTAATGTGTTCCTTTCTGTATGTATGTTTGTTCAGCGGGGAGAAATGCACAGCAGTATTTATCGACAGTACTGTGGGCCGGGGTGACCGCCGGAGTAATGGCGGCCGTGAAAGCAAATGGGAGGCAGTTCTGTTCCAGGCCTCGCTTGTGTGGCCTTCTCTGAGAAATAAACAAGGCAGAGGTAGCTAGCAGGAACCAAGGCACACGTCATCTCTGCCAAATGGTTAAATGTTGTATAGAAGCAAAAATTGGAGAATAAAAGGGCATGTGGAATAAGAACATCCCAATGTACGTTTGCTGTATTATTTCCTGGAACTCAGGCAGGGGTCAGAAACACTGAAAACTAGAGACGTCATGGTTACGCTGTGGAGTTGGAGTGCTAAATTTTGGGAAGGAGGAAGGGGCAGTTGGTGAACTGGGCTTCCAAAGCACGTACTCTTCATTTAGTATAAGTCGCCTTAAAAGGAAAGCTGAGATTCATTTGCCATTTTTTAGGTATGGGCTGAATGTAGGTTTTCGTCAGGTTATGTTTGAGTGGAAGGAATCACAAAGGTTCAACGAATATAGATGAGTTGTGTCATTTCGGATTACAGGACATCGAGGACGTCGGGCGGGTCACTACCGTTTGCGGGTTCTAAATGAGTTTGCCTAACACGAATTTTAAACCCAGGGGAAGAAAGAGGAAATTGGGGGGAGTGGAAATCATGAGAGGAATGGTATTTTAAGAGAAAATAGTGGGTGGGGAAAATATGTTCAAAAAGGTTAGGTTAATAAACTTAATATGCAAACTCATTTTATTATGTAGAATTTCATAACTCAATTCTATCTAGTTATTTGGTTCATATGATTTAGGGATTTTTGGACAGCTAGTGTGGTTTTGGAGAGCTGAAAATGAACTTGCCCGGATTATCATGTGATACTTTAAGAAATTTTTACAACTTCTCATTGATTTTCAATGAATCATATTTCATTAATTTCAATTTGTATTTCAAAAATAATTGCCTAGTAAAATCGTAATTTGCTACACGAGATGACATTCATTTTGGTATTTGTGGAAGGAAACTTTTTTTACATCATCTTACCACTATGGTAATATCAATGAAATTTTGCAGCATGGTATTTGTGGCGCGGACGCATGCACGTCTGTGGCAAGTCTACAGTTTGGTCGCGCGAAGACTTACGCGCGACACCAAATCATGCCTCGCTTCCGCGACTAAGCAGATAAGACGCGAGAGAAACGCGGAAGACAGAAAGAGGCTAGGAGCGAGTGGAAAGCACGCACTGAACATGGAAACCGACGATATGATGTCGTACTGTACTGACACCTAGTCACTTCCAAGCAGGATTCGAGGGAAGAGTCATCGTCATGTCCCATCCAAAATGTCCCATCGTGTGTAAAGCTCGCCCACCCAAAGAAAGGCTATAAATAGAGCCTTCACTCCGGTGGGTGAGAGGGGGGATTTCTTGACTCTCGCTCTAGAAACTTGGACTTCTCTTTGTAGAAAATATTCTCTATCCCTCCCATCCTGTAACCTGGCATACAACTACAAGTGTAATAAAATCGGATCTTACTCACACACATCTTCACGTGTCTCACTCCTACTCTTAGTCAGACACAAACACCGTTAATTTGAATTTTTGCGTTGCCTTCTCTCTTCCTCCGGCCCTCCTCTGTTGACTTCAGGGGCCTGTCGTCGGCTCCCTTCTGGCGACCGGCAGTGGCACAATCTCCCCCCTTTCTATAGCCTTTGATATGGACATTTTGCTATCGGATTTTCAGTTCGGTTTTTTCAAGCAGTTCTGATCACTAGTCATGGATTTCGATATGATCGGACAAGCTGATTTGATCTTGTTGCACTCTGATTAGTTGGTTGCAAGAGAGATTCCTGATGTTCCGTTTTAGTTCAAGGGTTTTGCTCTTTTGGGTGGCTGCTTTCCGTCTGTGTTTCGTTCTCTGTTGTTGCATTTGTTAAGCATGGTTTCATTGTAACCGAGTGCCTTGTGGCTTTTCCTCTTGTTGGAACAAGAATGTTGGTTCTTTGTTCCTCTTCGTAACTAATAAGTTAAAGTAAAATAAAGATTTTCCTTTGTAATTAAATATATGGTAATATCAATGATATGACAATGGTATGATAATAGGATGAGTTATCATATAGGTAAGATGATACATGTTGAATTTGGATAGCTCCCTTTTCTTGGTGGGAGTAGACCAGATTTCTCTTTTCTTGGCGAGAATGGCCAGGGTTTTCTTAATTCTAAAATTTCTTGCCTATTATTCATTTCGTTCTTCATATAAATACATCATAGATGAAAGAGAAAAATCCTAACTAGGTGGAGCTAACATCCACGTTGAGCTGCTAATGCTACTAATCTAACTCCACTTAAGGTGGACATGCCTATTGACTCTCAACAACCCATTACCCTCTAACAACTACCATAATCTCTCCCTAAAATTAATAATAATAACTAATCCAAATTATGAAAACTCTAATAAATCTATACGCATCATTCCTTCCCCCTTCAAAAGAATCTTGTCCTCAAGGTTCAAGTTAATTCGCGAATTATCGCAAACCATACTCAACCCCGACCCATGTAAAAGAAGATTGTCATTTACAGTGCTTCCAATTGCGCCGACCACCTCCACGCAGCTCCTATCACCGAGAGCTCCAGCTTCCCACGACAAGTCCTAGTGCACTTCATCACTTCCCTCTTCTTTTGCAGAGGGAAATTAAATGGAAGTCCCTCATCAAAGCTAGGCTTCTTGTCTCTATTTTTATGTTCCACTAGGCATATCATACGACCACCCAAGCCGTTCTTTGCGAAAAAGAATTCACCAACAGCTCCTGAAACTACCCTACTAAATTGCTCACCACCCACGCACCGAATAATTGGCTTTGCTGAATGTTCACCTGATGAGGAACCTAAATGCATTTCTTATAAAGGGAGTTGCTAAAGGTCGCCCTTAAAATTGCTAAAGGTCGCCCTAAAAAGAATCAAAGTTACACTTTTAACCCCCTTAGCTTCTTTACCTTCCCTTCCTCAAACAAACATCACTTGGACTAAAAAAACACTATCTAAGGAGAGAAAAATCCATCATCGTCATTTTGAAGCCGATATCGTCGGTAGGACGTCTGAATCATGAGTAGCGACTCCGACGAGGTAAAAACATGAACTGGAAAAAAAAACACAGAAAATGGGAACCGCGGGTCACTTGCGGTTGGACCATGGTTCAACCGCAAGTGACCTGCGGTTGGACCATGGCTGGACCGCAAATCACCTGCGGTCCACCCATGGTCCGACCGCAGGTCACTTGCGGTTGGGCATTTTTTGGGTTTTTTTTTTTCGTTGAATAATTTTCTATTTTTTATATGATTTATGATTTGTTCCATGAAATAATTTGTTGGGTTTTGATTTATATAATTTTTTAGATTTATTTGCATAATTATTTTTGAAATTGAAGGATTTAGCATTAGAAATTAAGATTAGATTTGGCCTTAAATTAAGATTAGATTTAATTTGGTCTTAATCTAGAAAATTAAGATTAGATTTTGCATTACAAATTAAGATTAAATTTATTGCATAAATAATAGATTCGCATATGAAGTTATGATGATTATTAAATTTAATATAGTTATGAAATTTTAAATTTATCATATGGTACTCGTTAAATTGACGATATAGAATGTTAAGTTTTTTTTTTAATTTGCGGGGTATTACTTATAAATTCTGATAACATTGCGGGATATTGGAAGTTACAATCCGGATGGCCGTGATTACACCTCGGATTTCATTGATGGCGTGAAATACACTACGGAGTTGCAAGCATATGAAGCAGCTACTGAGATTGCCAAGGGTTTTGGGTTTTATTTGGTGAGGGCATCGAACAAAAAAAATAAGAATGAAGGGTACTTGGCGACATTACTTACATTGCACTCATGGTAGGAAGAAGAAGTCGAAGGAACCTGATCCGAGTAAGGAAAGGAGGCCTCTTACATCTACTGAAAAGTTGGGGTGCGAGTTTCAGATCAAGCTTGAGCGGTCCGGTGATGGATATTGGTTGATCCTAGGGGTGGCAAATACAAAGAATCCTGGTGCTAATTTGGGTTTCCACAATCATAAGTTGGAGCTATTTCCGGAGGGATCAAAGGGAAGGAATGTTTTGACTACAGAGGATAAGCAATACATCAGAGAGCTGAGATCAGCCGGTGTCCCACCAAGGAATATCCACAAGGCAGTGAATGACAGAAAAGGTGCAAATGGAACACACAACAGAAAGCAGATTTATAACAAGTGTCACAAGATAAGAAAAGAAGAGCTTGGTCAGATGACAGCCTTACAATATACTTTCCGCATGGAGCAGGAGAAGGGTTACTATGTGCAGTATATGGACGATCCTAACGTGCTTACACACTTGTTCCTAGCCCACCCCGAGTCAATAGTGATGTTGCAAGCTTGGCACCATGTGATCGTGATAGATGCAACATACAAGACCAATAAGTATGATATGCCTTGGGTTGAGATTGTCGGCATGACACCAGTGGGATTGAACTTTGTCATTGCATCTGCAATAGTGTACGACGAGATGAAGGAGTCGTACCAGTGGCTTCTGACGCATTTGCAACATCTTCTTGGCCCCATTGTTCCAGATGTGTTTGTCAGTGACAAGGCAGGAGGATTGGTTGAGACCGTGGGGGTAATGTTTCCATCATTGACTCATATATTATGTCTTTGGCATATAGATAGGAATGTGAGAGCAAAGTGTCTAGCAGAGGTGCGAAGGACGACTCATTGTGGTATAGATGCAGCCAAACCGACAGTGGATCATATCATGGCATCTTGGCAACGTCCTGTATATGCATTGATAGTGGAAGACATGGATACTGCCTTAGACAATTTCAGACGTAGTTGGGGAGTACAGTACCGACGTCTTTGGGGGTATATGGCAGCTGAGTGGTTACTATTTAGACACATGTGGGCTAAATGTTATACCAATCAAGTGCGACATTTGGGTAACACAAGCTCTAATAGGGTTGAAGCTGCCCATTCCTCCTTCAAGAAGTGGCTTCAATCATCTACTGGCGCAGTCGACACGGTTAGTCTCCTAATAAATCTTCATTGATACACACATAAGTTTTAGTAGTCTCCTAATTGTTCTTCATTTGGGTAGGTATTCAAGAAGAACGATGATTACATTGAGGCTCAACACCTTCAAATCAGGAAGCTTCTAGAGGATTCCCGACAAAAGAAGCAGCTCCGAGCGGATGGAAAACCATTTCGTGAGTTGAATACGAAAGTCACTCTAGAAGCTCTAAGGTTGATGTTGTTCGAGGTAGCAGTGGAAGGGGAACCTTGTACATGTACGTTTCCTCCTACCTATGGTCTCCCATGTAGATGTTCCATTCAGTTAGCACGACGTGAAAATTGGGATTTCGCCTTGTATGATGTGTTGCCATTCTGGACCGTTATTAACTATCGTGAACCTCCTACTCGGCCGGAGGGGGATGACCATAGTGATTACCACTGTGGTGTGTTCCAAGGTCTAGTACAGGAGGTTCTTGATAGAGGTGACGAGACCATTCGAGGTGCAATCGGTCTACTCCGGAGCCATCTTCATCCTGAAAACGATGGCATTGATGAACCGCATGGGGGACAGCCCCGCCCCGGTCGCCCAAGAACGTCCACCACTCGAAACCTATCTCACTTCGAGCATGTGGCAAGGAGACGAGGGAGGAGAAGTTCAAGACTTCCGACTGCAACTCCGGACAATGATGGAAATATAGGTAGATTAACTTTTTCTATTAGTTGTGTTCAATTGTCCTCAATATGGTGTACAACTAATCTATTTTTTTAAATGAGATAGGTGGTGCTCCGAATGTGAATGCACAAACCAACTTAGAGAATGAGACGGAGCCGATCCATAATGATATAGGTTAGAAATTATATTCCCAATTTCGGGTAAACATATAGTGTAACT